ATCACTTGACATCATCTGGCTTCGATAAACTCGTAGCGTATTTCCAGCTTGATACTTTTTCAATTGATTATAAAGATTGAAGATAAATACACGAAATAAAAAAATTAAATGAATATCTTGCGTGCGCAGAGCTGTATTAAGAGTCTTGTAAAAGAATGATTCTCTTGTGTACCACCATAGAGCTTTGTTTGGTGAATAATTCTTTTCAAAATCATGAAGATTGTGTAATTCAGCAATGTCATTTTCATATTTCTGTTTACAAAGATGAATAAGTTCTTGTTTATCTGCTTCAATATATTTTAATCGGAGAAGACACTCAATCAGGAGTTGAGTATAAACAAATTGACCATTAACACCCATTGTTGATGTACCTGCACCAGTACTTGTAGTAAAAATATTAATTGACAAAGGTTCTTCTACTGTTTTCTGAATTCTATGATCAGCTCCAATTCGAAAAATGAGTTCATCAAGTTTAACAACAACAGCTTTTACCTGTCAAAAAAAATTTATAAAAGGAAATCAAAATCATCATGAACAGTTTTACTTTTGCAAATGTACGAGCCCATTGTTCGTGCTTGTTCTTATCCATGCAGTATACATAGATTGATACAACTTGTTGAAGTTTATGAATAGAAGGAACTATTTCTCGTCCTGCTTGACCACTAACAATCATTATTAGTCGATCTTTATATGATCGTTCTTCAATATATTTTTGACATTGCTTTACATCTTGAAACTTTATGAGACGATTAATGATAGAACGTAATCTTTGTTCCGTATTTCGATTCTCTTCAACATTTGTATTGGCATCGAGCCATATAAGGCAGAAAATGTCAAGATGGTGATCGTCGGCGTTTGCATGACAGTCATCAATTGGTGGAACAGATGTGACCATGTCAATCAATGAAACTAAATAGAATGGAAATTTTAAGTGTTGTTTATTCGATTGAGTTGTCCAATATGAGAGTTTTTTTAGCATTTGAAAATGAATTCTATACTCAGATTTTTATTTTGTTATTTATTAGTATTTATGATATTGTTTTCTTTTCTAGTTTTAATGCCAAGTCAGACGATAGGAGAACAACATATTCGGTTTCGTGGAAGAAAATGACTTGCATCAGATCTTTAGCTTTTGTAGATAAGACCATCGAACCATCGTGTAAACTTTAAACATGGATCGATGTTATTTGTATCTTTTTTATTTGGTCATCTAAAAAGCTTATGAATCAGACAATATCATCTCTCAATAAGTTTGATGCTGTCAGTTAGTAGCATGCAGATTTGTAATTCCAATCGCTACGTATTATAGTTCTGATGTTCCTCTATCGAAAATTTCGTCCGCTGAATTAGCTGAACCATCAAATCGATGTGTTACTTGGTCTTAGAAAAGAGTAGTACTTTCAAAAAATGTTATTTCTTATCGGATTGAAAAAGTCCTATAAATTGATCCTGAAAGAAATATGAGACTGTCCACTAAGATTAATGCCAAAAGGGCAGAAGTTTTTTGTTTCTTGAAGTCTTTTTTCAGTGTCGAACACATTTCAGAAGAAAAAGACCATTTTTATTATGTCTGAATGAAGAAATCGTTCTCTTCACCTATGAAATCTAATTATTTCTGAGAAGAAGGAAACATTTGAATATGAAGTTTGTTCTTTCGATTAAGTTGATTTGAAATCTTAGATATTAAGCTGCTCATATTTCCGTCCACAGTATGAAATAAACAACAAACATTTTGCACGGTCTTAACTTTCTGAATAATGACAATACATTGAGAGAAATCGTATTACTTGAAAAAAAAGATAATCGATGATAACATTCATATTTGAAAACTTTTCTAAGGAAATCTATTGCTGTTTTAAGAATTTGACATGAATTTCTGACAGAAACGAAAAACTTGTTTTGCGTTGACAACTATCGACATATACCTTTCTCTTCTATTGTAACTCGACTTTAGACTGTAGATGTTGTCCTTTAATTCCAGATAACAAAAGGAAAGAAAGGGTTCTCTATTCAATGTACACATCATTGGAAAAGTTTATCATTTCTTTATATTGCCGACAATCTCTTTTGAGAAAATTTGTATCAAAAGGATGAAAGAAATCTTTGCAAATGAAATTTATTTCTGAGGATTTGAAAACGTTTGTCACAGTAACTCTATGTCATTTCATTCTTCAGAGTTCAACAATGTTTTATTATATCGAAACCTCATTTCTATCAAATGAAATCCTAAATAATTCTATTGTTCTTATAGATGAACAGAAAAAGAATAGATCAGGCAGACAAGTTCTTCAAAATAAATGCTTTTATTGGTTTAATAGTGTCATAAAACTATTGTTTATCAGAATTTTTAACGCATATAAATGTGTTAGTCATAAATAAGCCTGTTAAAAGGCATTATTTTCTCTCAATTTATGTACTTTTACGAGTTTCTCTGGTAGCTTCTATCAGTTTTATCGCGTTGATAATTTCATTCGTGTTCGATTGCAAGATTTTGCTCGACAAGCTTAATTTTATGCGATGACTTCTAGAACTCGTTTTACTAGATTAAGCTTCAACCTATTACTTCTTGATTTTCAGCTAGACCTACTGTACCTTTACGGATTTGTTATTTAAAACACTCTAGAAGACGAAGTTTTTGTCGATTCTTAATGCATTTACTTTATAGATTTCTAAGAGGAAGATCAGTTACTATTTTTAGGTACACTGTTTACTTCAGTACACAATTAACACTGTCCCATTTCAGAAACATCCATGCCACTTAATCATATGATAGTACACTCGACCTTCTGTATTTATGAGCGATGTCATTGAACCGAACAAATGCTCTGCTTTTATTTATTGACTAAATGAAACTTCTCAAACGTTTACACAATAATCATCTTTGATTTTTACCAGTTACAAGATGTAAAACTCATGTAAGAAATTTCAACGAAAAATCAGAACAAAGTCAATTAGTTTTCCAGTAAAAGCCAATTAAAGTGGTATAATTTAATTGTGATTAAAAACTGATTTATCTGCTATAAAGATAAATTTCAATTGATGGCAGTCGTTTTTGATCAGTCAATATAGTTTTATCAATTAAAACTGTTTTTTTTTTATATGGAATATGAAAGATTAAAGCCAAATGAAATCTATCTTGAAAGCTGAAAAATCAGATATTTATTGTCCTCAACTAGTGCCGTTTTAATCAATTTTCCAGTTAGAAAAAAAAACCGATTAAAATCAATCTTTTTTATTTTCGCACGTGAAAAATCTTTCTAGGAAAAACAGATACGGTCTGGATCGCTCCAGCCTAGAGAAAAAAACCTTTCTGAGCCGAATCGAATGAACTATGTGCTTTTCGTATGGTTTGATCGGAATTTTTGGTCAAAACTCTATGTGAAATGAACATAATATTATTGGATGGTTCAGAGTTGATCGCTCAATTTTTTAATGCTGAAACAGATACTTTCTGCAGTTTTAACCACGCGAAGACGAAATTCTGACGTTGCACACAGGAACAGTCTTCCTGTTGTTTGCTGAAAAAAGCGATTCATTAACTTGTGTTGAGTTTTATTCAAGCTAGAACATCTTAAATTAAATACCACCTATTCAGTTTTGTAGAGTAGATTTTGGTGCATACAGTCTCTTCAGTCACATACTGCAGAAATTCACTGTTTTACATTTACAGCAGTTGACTCGGTTAATAGAATTTCTTATTTCTCGTAAATTACAAAAACTATATATCTTAAAATTTTATTGAACTAGTCTACTTTGTAAAATTTTCTGCACTACTCATTTTAGTAAGAAGTTTTTTTTTAACTTTACCAAAAAAAACTGAAAATGGTTGGATGCAAATGACGACAACTCTTAGTTGTTTCAGATTCTTGTCGATTTTGAACACTTTTATTGTAGAAACAATGCTTATTGATAAAATTTAAAAACTTTTAACATAACGATCAGCAAAGGCTAGGTGATACTCCGTTCTCTAAACACGAACGTTGAGCCATTTCTGTCAGAAATATTTTATTCCTCATCAAGACAGCAACCAACACTTTTTAAAACAATTGCAACCGCTACTTAAATCGGTGTACATCAAAGTAAAAGAACTATTCGTAAAAAAAAAACAAATTCTTCAGTCATTTCTATCTTCATATATACAAGTTTAACAGGCTTAAATAGATATCAATTATTTGACTTCTTCATCCTAAGGAGACGTTCTAGTAAAAATATCATGTATCTAAGGAAAAGAAATTCATGCATTTCTTCTCTGGCGAAGAGAAAAACTAAGAAAGTTTCTTTTGAAACTCAAAACTAAACATGTAAGCACAGTGATTGATAGACATATGTGTATGTTCTTTCATTCTATTTCCTTTTGATTCGTACGAGTTTAGATGAGGTGAAACATTTCTTCATAAGCAGGAATAATTCTCCCATCGACTGGCCCAATCGTCCACTGCTGTAATCAATGTAAGAACCTTTACAATATTGACTACTTTTAATTATCTTTAACAACTATTCCATTTTTTGTGAATGACTACAAGTGAAAGTACTTATGCAGAGTGTCCCAGAAATTCTGAAATAATTTTAGAATTCATTATGTTTGTCTTCACCAAAAACGATTTCTTTGCAACGGTGACAGCTCATTTTATTGACTTACTACTAAACAACAAGCTAAGAAACTATAAAAATGCTATGGATTAATTATTTAACTTTTACTTACTCTTTTGTTACTATTTTTGAAATCAAAACTGAACCATTGCGGATTTATTTTACATGTCTGTCGTAAGCAAAATACATTTTTTTAGCGACTATCATCATTTAATAGTCTGACAAGCTCTCGCAATTCATTGATAAAAATTGAAGATGGTTTGAAAAACAATATCTTCTAAAAAAATACTAGCCGATACTATCATGCATTTCTGAAATTTCACTTCTAATATTGTTTGTGCTTCATATAAAATATCATATATTGGTTCAGTAGGATCTCTTCAATATGCTGGTTGTACTATCAATAGAATGCAAATAAGCCGCTAAAATCTGTGTTACATAATCTCAATTTTAGAATTGAGTGAACTCTGAATTTCATTTTTTTTTCTGAACCCTTGTTTGATAATAGTATGCAGCAGATTTCGACATTTTTGTTTATGTATTTACTATACGTCATTTCTATCACCATAATTTTAAAGCATGTTTTTACTTTCATTCAAATTTTTTTTGATAATTTGTATCTTTGTTTTCGAAGTTTAAATTTAGTATTTCCAATTAAACGCAGCTTTTTTTTGTAATTGAAGAGATTCTTTTACAAGTTGAACATACTTTATGATTTTTGTTGTATGACGGACTTCTGTTTTTAGTAAGTCTAACAATATCGTACTCTAATATTCTTCATACTTTAAGTCTTAAAGCACTTGTCTTTGTCTAAGAAAATAGGGTTTCTGTTTCTCTGTCCCTAATTAATGCAAGCTTTTCGCAGTATAATGCTTCAAAAAAATAAAAATTCTTTTATCGTTAGTTGATAATTCATGCGACACTGAATATTGATTCAACGGTAGTGAACGAAAGTTGACGTTTAGATTTTTCTCGTATTGACATATACAGAAATGAAAATAAATTGGTGAAAGAAAAAATATTTGTTTCATCATTTATCTTGAATTTTATCCCTTTAAAATTATTGAAACATTGGAGTGATTG